GTGAGTAAGCTTCCAGCCATGCAGATGAGCTTGCCTTTTCAACTATCAGGTGCTTGTGCTTCAGCATCGCTACAAAAAGGATTATACTGACCTACACATTTGCATAGGAGAAGAAACACCGCTTACTTTTGCTAGTAGGGATCATTTCTCCCAGAGAATAAAATGAGTAACGAAGCAATGGTGAATTGTTTGTCATTTGTGAATGGATAGCTCATGGAGATGAGCCATGTCAGGGTTGGTCGTGCCGCACGCCTTCTCCAGGGGATCCTTGCAGCGCCTCTGGAGCTCAAGGTACTTGTCCAGGTTGAAGTTCTGCCTCTGGATCAGCTTCCTCTGCCGAGACTCAAACATCCTCTCCATGAAGTCTCGGTAGGTTGGGTCCCTTGATGTGATGAGGAAGTATGCGTATCCCACAACCAGGCCTGTCGTGGTCGTGAAGAACGTGATGGGCTCCATGACGTCCCACGAGAACTCCCAGAACGTGAGCCTGAAGAAGAGGCCCACCTGGGTGATCAAGAAACCCAGACCAGACCAGAGGATGCGCCGGACCTGCTTGTGTGCAAGCTTGTTGATGTCTTCCAACTGCGCCTGGAGCTGCTTGAGCTCTTCCTTCCCCGGATCATTCTCAGGTGTCAGTGCAAGGGGCATAGCTTTCCTTACAAGATCCACGATCTGTATAAAACAAGAGGTATTAGCATCAACCGAAGGTAAGTATAAGCTAATGTATGTGAAGACCCCACAACACACCAAATCTGAACCTATATTGATAAGAACCAATTGATGAGAAATTTAAAAGGGGAAATTTCAGCGTATGTGGATACACCACAGTCCTAATCTGTATTTCAGTTTGCTTCAGCATGTATCACTGAAGTGTTCACATGTCAAAAAGACATGGATTGACAATATCCTGAAAAATCAACTTACAAAGTGACCTATCCTAAAATGGAAGAATCTGTACATAAGAAAAACAATGTGCAACGAATATGCAAGTGTAAATACATTTCAAACACAAAATGGTGCAATGCAATGGAAAGTAAACATGAATACATGATTTAAGAGTATAGTAGAGGATCCTCTGTGAAGCTTCATGCTTTTGTTCCAAATGTTCAATAGACAATAGTTAATTTACACCCAGCACCATCAACTTGAATGAGGAATGGTAGTTACAAAATTTGCTGATATGTCCCATAGTACAGCTTGCAACAAGGCTCCAAATTGCACATCACGTTACTGAATAAAGTGAGAGTAACGCATAACTATTATGATACTATTTAAACAAAAAAAAACATAGGACAAGCATTGTGAAAAGCAACCAACTTTGAACTTAGCTGTCCTTCTCACCAGACACCCACTATTTTACTTTTGCTACCACACTATCGAAGGACAGACTTTGCCCGGTAGACTGGTAGCTCGCCCCATCTGTGCAATACACAAAACAAGCAGTCTAGATAATGGACAATGCATCCTGTGCCTCAAGCCACACAAGATAATGGAAACAGGATAGAATGATAGAGGCAGTACAAAGGGACAATAGCCTCTCCAGTGCAATGAGCCGATGACCCATCGTGTACGAGAGGACAGAGCAAACTAGAAAAAAGAAGAGGCACCAATCAGATGCTTTACAAGCCGATGGATTCCTCCCATCGAAGAAAACCGGATGACTTTTCCACTGGTGCTGCCCGCATGACCGCGTGGGCAGCCGAGAGGAGCACACCGTGAACCACCAGTCGCGACCTAGGGGCCGCGGCGTCTACATGCATACCGATCACCTTTCCCTCCAGAAAGCGCCACTGGCAAGTGGATTGCTACTGGTCCAAACAGTAGGGCGACGAGCTCACGCTGATTTCAAAGGCCAGTCCCGATCAGTAAGTTGAGAAGGTTGCACGAAGTGCACGATGAATCTTGGTTCTCATCAAACCATTAGCTTGCCGTCGAATGGCAAATGCAATTCTAACGACTCGATCTATGGACTATATAGGTATAATCCGTAGGCGATGTACCCCTGGACCATCGCTTGCACTAGCGGGAAGCTGGGCAAACCCCGCGGGTCACAACTCACAATCTGGAACCTAATTGGTTGCACGGATCTGTACTTGAGCCGGCCAGCGGCTGAGCCGTGTCCGTGTGGACGGTGCTTAGCGACCCAAAAAAAAATTGTAGAACAAAATTTTCTAATGCCTCAAATAAAAACTACCATGTCCCATTCCTTCCTTGATTACATCGAAAATGCGTTCCCTAAGATTTCCGGCACCGCCAGCATGGACCCGGTCGCGCACGAGAGAACAATCGACGCACTAACGAACAGAGTTGCCGGCGGCGAGGGAAACGGATAGCACGCAGCTTAAAATCCGAAAGTCCCCGACGCCCGGAGAAACCGAGCCTCGAACGCGGCGATTCTACATGGATCAAGGAGGGATAAGGTGTGGGGGGAGGAGAGGGCAGCAATGCGAGCTGACCTTGTCGGGCTGGAGGTAGACCCTGTCGCGGAAGAGCAGGACGACGCCGGCCTCGTCGAGCGCGCCGGCGAGCGCGCTGGCCTCGGCGCGCGTCCGGGCCGCGCCGGAGTCCTGGCACGCGCGCAGCAGGTCCGCGTAGGGGATTACCTCCCCGTCCCCGAGCCGCCGCTTGAGCGCCTCCACGTTGGCCAGCCGCATCAGCCGCCTCGCCTCCGCCGCCGTCACCTCCTCCGCGCCGTCCCTCCTCGCCGCCTCCGGCAGCGACGCGTAGCCGCAGCGCTGCTGCAGCGCGCACGGCGGCGGGACCCACCGGCGGGGTGCGGCGCCGGCGCCGCGCCCCGCCGCCGAGGTGGAGGCCGAGGCGGCGCGGAGGAGGGAGCGGGAGACGCGCCATATTGACATGGGTCGTGTCGGTGCCTATCGACCTCTCTCTCTCTCTCTCTCTCTCTCTGGATGCTGATGCTGCGTGTGGTGGGTGGAAGGGAGGGGAAGGGGGAGGAGGTGGTCAAAGCGGGAAGAGGGAAGGAGCGGGAAGTACGGAGAGGAGAGCTGAAAGGGGAAGGGAAGACAAGGGCGGGGAAGGCAAGGCCGTGTTCGCTTCGCGTGGGGTTTGGTTTATTTTTGGAAGGAGAGGTGGGTCTCCCTTTCCTTTCTCGTCGGCTCGTCCATTGGGCGGGTACGGCCTTCCTGTGCACAGAGGGAGGGGCGTTGGGTTTCCCGGAAGCTGCTTTCTAGTGTCATCACGCTTTTACGTCGCGTTAAAAATTTATTCACTCACCTATTCATCAAAAATATGTTTACTTAAAAGATTCAGTAAACCTTTTTACAAAGTTTTGTGAACATACAAGTTATTTCATCAATAATTCTATTTCCATTGCTAATAAAAGGTTGAGCACATATTAAACAAAGTAAATTATGTAATTGTCTAGGGTGTGCACAAATAGCTAAACAAAATAGTTTTTGTAGCCATATTGGCAAATTCGGATTTATTCTGTATTGCTAAGGTCATGTTTGGATCTTTATAGATAATAACCATCTATTGATAATTATCTCATTTGGATCCAACATGTACGACCGATAGATTAGCTAATTGTTAGATAATAAATAACTATCTCACTAGTTTGATCAAATCAGATAATAGCAGCTAATAGGTGGAGAAATAACTATCTCATCAATTAGTTGTGTATCAAACACCCTCCCAGCTAATAGGTAGCTAGCCAATTGTTAGCCAACTAATATTAACTATGTGTTATTACCTAAATAACTACTACTCCAGCTAATAGATCTAAACAGGGCCGGCTAAGCGAGAATCCGATATTAATTAATTTTGGAGGACAAACACAGCCAATTCGTCGGCCAGGTGTACTCTGGCCACTGCCCAGGTTGAGGCTCAGCTTAGGCCATATTTAGTTCCCACCAAAATCTAAACTTTGGTACTATGTAAAAAGAAGATTATCCGTCACATTAAATTTGCGGTATATGCATGGAGTACTAAATATTGACGAAATTAAAAATTAATTGCACAGTTTAGTTATATTTTGCGAGATAAACGTTTTAAGCCTAATTAGTCAACGATTGGACAGTTATTAACGAATAAAACGAAATGTTACGGTGCGCTACAGTAATTTCGGCGGCGCCGATTCTGGGCAACTAACCGAGGCCTTAGCTCGCGAGCGAAAAGGTTCACCAAAACCCAAAGAATAATAAAAAGGGAAGAACCTGTTCTTGTTCTTCTGATTTTATTCTTCCGACGGTGCCGATACACGAAAATAGCGACCACATGGCGGTCGGCTGGGCGAGCCGACCCGGACGCCGGACGCCTTTCAGCCGACCGCGCAACACGTCGTGGACGCGGCGGGCGCGCCTGCTGCGCACCACGAACAAAGCAACGAGCAACCTGATGCGACGCGCCATGCGCCCAAGGGATGAGGCAGATGGGCCAGCACTACCCGTCTACCCCTAAAGCGAAAGGTTTTACTGCTGCACGCCTGCCCCATTGCCCAGCAGCTCGAACTAGAAAGTAGAAACCCGCTGGCCACTGACCCGCTGCCATTTTCTACCTGTGGTTGTGGTGGTGTGATGCACCTTTTATTTCTCAGATCTATCTAATACCGTCAGATTTGTTTGTTAATTATAATTATCAGGCGAAACTAATGGATCGTTTGTTTACGTTCATTTCCACGAGATGCACGTGAATGTCGCGAACAGCCCAACATTGCCGACCAGTATCTCAGAATTTGCGCGTGTAATCAGCTCGCAAGTGGGCACTGACAGTGGCCAATATATTCAGTAGCCTCATGTGACAGTGCACCTGGTACTGTTGCAACAATTTAAGAGTTGCGCGATGCCAAACTTTGAATCTTTGACGGCAGGTTAATCACCTAGCGCAAAATAATTACAATTTGTGTGAGAAATTAATGCTAGTGAACAAGTACCCTTCCGTAATTCGTAAGTACACAGTAGACGAATTAACTGTAGATCTAGAAAGAGAAGAATATATACACATATCTCATATGTGTCAAGTTATTAGAAGTATCCTTCGTTCTAGTCTGTTTTCCCATTTTCACTGCGCTTCCTCCTAGAAAGGGTTTTCACCATCCCCTTGAGTATCTTCCAGAACCAAAACACGTTCATCACTGCAACCGCCGATGGCACCGCCACCAAGCTGTAGAATCCTAAGGTGAAGATGGACCTCGCCTGGGAAACAAGGATGGCATCGGCAATAGAAAACAATCACACTTCTTTTTTCATGAATGCACCAAGGATTATTCTAACAAAAAAAACTTCATGCTGCTGCAGAAGCACCGTAGCAGCATCACAGAAGATATCATAATATTTTTTCAGCAGTTGTGTGCAGCCATGCTGCTACAACAAAATATAGTTTCTGCGGCAAGCTATTATTGATGAACCCTTATGTACAGGCAATTCTGTGATTGCTAGTTTTTTCAGCTTCACAATGTCAGAATCAGAAGCACCAAAACAACCATAACTTCTGATAATCTAGTTTAATTTAAGGTTTCACATTTTATGCAAGCCTTTTTTTTTTTTTGCAGAACATCGAGGAACTAACTTCAATGTTAACGGAAAAATACTGACCAAACAGATCTTATTCTAAAAAGTTACATTACAAGAAATAAATGGATTTTCATTGATTCCCAGGTTAATTGGTAGTACAGTGTGCTTTCAGGATGAAAAATTTAAATACACATACCTGATCAAAATGAAAATACATATGGGTGAACATATAGATGAATAAGATTATCCGAGCAATCTGTAGCAGGAAAAAGACATGTTAATCAACTATTCACCAGAGCAAAATGGTCATTTAAAGAGGACGTTTAGGGTTTATTTGGAAAGTGAGAAGCGGCATCCAAATCCTTATGGTTAATTCAAACTAGAGCATAAAAGTTTTTTAGGACCAAATCCTCTGTTCCGAAATCCAAAAATGGCCCTTCTTGTGTTCCTTAGAAAAAAGAAACTCAAAATGGCCCTTATCAATTTGTATAGTGAAGGCATCACTAATCATTACCCCCCAGCTATCACATCTTCAAAACAACTCAGAAGCATATCAAGGAAGCAGAAATTTTAGATTTCCATTTGATTTGTAATGATACAAAACAACATATAAAATGTAAATGAAAAAATATAAAAATGGGCACATTTTTCACTGAATCTGGTCAAAACCTAAAAAAGGATAGTTTCACAGTTGACAGGGATAGTTTTGTATGCTGTCTGATGTGCGTAAACAGCAGAAATAGTAAAAGTAACAACCACAGCTGCCAGGGAACCTACTATGCAATGCTCTAGCATTTAGAGACAACCTTCCTGTACCATACGTCCATATGCATTATGACTGTATATAAAATTGGTTTTAGAAAAAAAGCTGATGACTCATGAGAGAAGCTGTTGTACCAGCCATCCAGCAAATAGAGCCACGCCATTGTATAAGTAAAGATTACAAGTCTTCTGACCAGCAACGTCCAAATACCTGTAGAGATCATTACAAACTTTTTAAAAAAAAAAAATGAATGGTAGCCCCAGTTCTTAATGAGCAGATTAGCAACAAAGGATATTACCATCTGAGGTTCACAAAGGGAGTCGTGACTTCAGTGAAGAGGACCATGAGTATGTACATGTGTGCTTTGCCACTCAACAAAGCAAGACCAATTGCATACATAGAAAGTCCGTGATGCAAGAGCTGAAACATCAATATTAGAAAAACTAGCTCCTGATATAGAGGAAACAACAATAAGAAAACTCTATTAAAAGCTAGAACATGTGCTATGACCGAGTGATACTTACATACTCCTTTCCACCTAAAGAAGGAAAATAAAGCAGGATCATCGTCAAGTCTGTCAAAAAGTAACCAATCGAAACCTGCAGAGGCAACAATTGTTTTTTCTTATGCCATGAGTATGATAAGAGACATGGAGTAAAGAAGCATCACATGTAAAAATCAAATTGTTGTTAACATATATTAAAGAAATCAAACACTCCTTCTAATATTTTCATGTTCATTTTATTCTGAAAGACATGCAGTGTATATGGATAACAAATTGATTGTCTTCAAACATAGGGAGAAATAAAGTTGAAATGCACAGCTTACCCCAAACATGGAATCAGATAACCATGATTTTCTATCAATTATTATGCTATTGTGCGCATCTTCATTAAAGAGGTCAGAGATCATGACCAAGTAGAAAGACATGGCAGCAGCTACCAACGCATGGAGTGTAGAGAAACCCCTAGCAATATGTGGCATCATATAATCAGATTAAACAAAGCTAAAGCCAAAAATAATAAGAAAAGCAAAAGTATCTAAAAAGCTGTGTCTACACATATCTTACCTATTGTTCCACTCAACCTTTTGCGTGTTGTTTAACATATTGTAACATTTGAAACATCGAGAACTGACCTTTCTAGTCATCTCATATACCTGTAAGGACAACAGTGAGTATAGCATGATACAGAGTATTACAGGAATAGTTTGATCCAATAGCCTGAAACAGTAACTCTTCTGTAAGCTCGGAATTTCAGAAGTATAATGACATTTTCAATTGAAATCTAGTAGCTGGCAGAAATAAGAGCCAAAAAGTAGTCAGCAATGTTATGTTGGTTGTAACCAAGGACTCCGAGTCAACAATGTTATGTTGATTATGCACTTCATGGAGCTGACTTGCCTAATTTTGACCACCCAGTTACCTTTTAAAACGTTGCATAAGTTTCTCAACAAAGTGTTTTAATGGCCGAACATATACATCTACATATTTTGCCGATTACATCGAACTTATTTGTCCAATGGATTTTTCATCGAGCTATTTTTTTTTCCTTTTTTTTTGGTAAGTACCAACAAGTTATATAGAACCTTCCTTTTATTCTTGAGCAATTCACTCATCTTGAATAAACAAACCAATATGTAAGTATTACCGTGAGGGATTATTGTAGGAACATGAGCACACATCCAACTAATCTTGCGCTGGATTATTTGTGTAATTTATTTGAAATTTAATGCGCTACACTTGTAACTGATGCCGTAAGTTTATATGATGTTGACTGTTTATAACAATTGTTTCAAAAATAAGTTTTTTTTTCTCAGTAGTGCCTTAAATCTCCCCTCTTTTCATGTCTTTTTTTTCTAAAAAACATTATTCTACTGTACGTGCAAACACAGAACACGACAAAGAAAAAGATAGAGAACCAGTGAATTGTAACGCTAAAAGAATTAGGTCGACATCAAAGCTGCTGACGAGTGACGAGGAAACCTTTCCTTGATACTAACGGGAGTACGGGACACATCGAACGAACTAAATCGAGGAATCCAATATGATAATGCAGCTCCACGGGTAAACTATATATACAGTCTTCGAGGAAGCTTCTGATCCTGTTCAAGCACCGAAAATAACTCTTGTAGAAAACTATTCAACGCTATGTTGTCCACAAACTTGTATTGCGCTTGCGCCTACAGCTACCAGTCAGGCTCAGGCGTCGTAGAAGACAGGGACTGGCACCTAGATGCATCATTAACTAGCGCCGGTACGACCTACATTGACATTATACCAGAAGAAAAAAGACCTATAATGATGAAAGATTTGGGGGTTTGGACACAAATAGCAACAGGCACAACTACTCTGTCGCAGATTAAAAAGGAACGAACTATGAGTTGATGGTTTGAAAGGAACGAACTATGAGCTGATAGTTTGAAATTCAGCCAGTGAAATGAAAGCAAAAAACAAGGAGGGACCAAGCGAGGGAAGCTTACAGCGCCGCACATGACGATGCCGGCAAGAACCGACGCCGGCCACAGAATCTGCTCCCGGGGCCCGAAATAATTCCCGTCCATCCCTCCGCTACCCGATCCAATCGACCAACGAGCAGAGGAGAAGAAGAACCAGCAGCAGCAGCTCCGCAATGAGGCACCAAAACGGCAACAAGTGCCTCCCAGAACCCTGCGTACCCAATCCACTAGTAATCCAGTCCTAGCACGAAACACAGCTCCGCGTTTCAATCTCCCGCCTCCCACAAAGCTTCGCAATTGGCAGCGCCTGGGGAAAAAGAAGCTGTGAATCTTACCTGCCACCTGGATTCTGGATAGGATGGGTTGGGTTGGGACTTGCGGCGTAGCCTTCGCCGCTTGCTCCTCCCTTTCGTGGGTTTTCTTTGTGGCCTGGGCCTCGCTCGAGCGTTGAGCCTCCGGGTTTTTAAAGCCAGGGTGCGGGCGTGCACACAGCGCACGAGGACGAGGGGACGACGACATGGAGGCGAGGTGCTCGGCTTCGGCTTCGGCTTCGGCTCGGCGCCTTGTCCTTGGGACAGCCACAAGACGGGACCCGGGCCAGTTGTCTCCGCCGCTCGCCAGCTGATCAGATTCGTTGCATAATTGCATTGCATTGAATTGCACGGGCGAGATGACACGTCCATGAACAGTTAAGTTACGTATAACACTTGGTACGTGCCCGATTCGTTTCGCGGATTGCAGAGGGAAACTAAGATCTGGATAGCTCAGGCTCTGATCAAGGAACTTCCCTATGCGTGTCAGTGTGTGGATGGGATCATGGGAGGTCCTGCCAGCGTCGTGGATCTGATGAACGCACGGCTAGCAGCATGTGACACGGTGTCAAACTTGATGAGGAATTATTAAAGGAGAGACAGAGAACAGTGCTAGTGCTGCGGTCGCATGTGATCGAGTTGAATCGCAGAGGTCATGTAGTTTCCCGCAAAGAAAAAAAATCTGGCAGCAAGCAGTTTATAGCATCTTCTGCCATCCTACATATATGTTTGTAATGCAAAATATGGCCGGTGATTTCAGACCACCGAGAATAAGACTTTTCTCTGCCAAGCACGAGAACTGAATCAAGGCCAAATATCTCAGTGCTCTTATAGGTGTGTTCGCTGTAGTTTGCTGGAGGTGCTGTTGTGTTCCTGCCAAAGAACAGCTGAAAGGAAAATTGCAGCGACATCTGCAGCAAAGAGGTGAAAAACAGGGCCCTATATTTTCTTCAGCTTTCCATTAGAGGTGCCCGTCCTCTTCCTCCCCTGTATCTAGTGATTCTTGTGCTATTGCCTATTTGGGTTAGCTTGGTCCTTGGTGTCAATCATATGAAGACTTTCAAATTTCGATTTCTAATAAGTGTGCGGAAAATATTACTAAGCTTTTTTATAAATTGCACAAGATGGAGACACAAACACTTGTATGCACATTCATCTCTATGAATATCCACACACACTCTACTCCTATGAGCATCTCTAAAAGACTGAGCTAGTAGATTTTGAGATTGTCGAAGTTACCTTAGGTGTCTTGCTATTACCGGGCACTTCGCCTACCACTAAATTAATAACATCGTTGAATTCTAAAATAAATATAAGAAAATACAAGCACCGGGTGGACAAGTTCCATCACAAAATAATCAACCAGCTCACCAGCTCAGTTCGCGAAAATATTACCAAGTTGACGTGGTGTTGCACAGTGTTTCAACTTGCCACAGAGACAAAGGTTAGGTACATTGTCTATTTGTTATCCGACTATCTTTCATTAATAACTAGTTCAGTTCGACGAGTTGCGAACAGCAAAGTTGAGATCTTGCAAATCAAATGCTGAGACGGTGGTTCAAGACCACACGATTCGTAGAAATAATAATGGCCATGCTTTATAAAAAAATGTAAATCCGTGCTAGTACAATATATTAGGGCTCCTTTGGGTACGCTGATACCGCCGGTATCCCCGCCCCATCCGCGGGGGAGCCAAGGCCCGTGGGAGCGGGCACCCTCTCCATTCCACGCTACAGTTTGGATATCGCTTGGGCTAAAAAAAGTTCGTGCCTTTTCAGCCCGATCCGCGTGGAGCCACGGGGGAACAAAAAATCACCTCCTGAGTCGTGCCTCTGTTTCCCCGTCGCCCCTCGCGCTCGCCATCGACATCGACTCGTGCGGCCGCGCAAAGCAAGACATGGCGGCTAGGGTTTGAGCGCCGCCACTCCCAGTCGCGTGCGCCGCGCATCCCCATCTCCCACCATCCCGCGACTCGCTTCGTGCCAGCAGCGCCACACACTCCATCCATCCACCGGGAAGCAGCGCTGCCGCGCACTCCATCCTCTCGCAAGGTAAGCCATGGCGGCTAGGGCTCGAGCTCCTCGTCCGCCTTGTAGGTCCTTCCCCGTTGAGGCACTCGTCGATTTATTTCCCCGTCTCACTTGCTTTCTTCTCACCCGTCAGGCGTTCACTCCTTCTTCGGTAGAAGGAATCCATGGCGGCTAGGGTTTGATCTGCCTTTGCTGCTCCCTCGCGCCACCAGCCACTTTAGATCCGTTCAAGAAGCGCGAGCCTCCAACCCTCCAAGAAGCGGGAGATCTGCAGGGAGAAGTGGATCTGCAGTCGCCGCCCGCTTCTGTCTCGCCAAGAACGCCCAGGTACCATCGTCCTAGAGCACGTCGTCACTCTCCAGGGCCGTGTCTTCGCCAATTGTCCTGCCGTCCGTCGTCGTGGTGAGTCTCCATGTCCCTTTCCCCTCTGTCTTTCTCAATCTTGGCTCCGTTGTTTCTTGTTAGATCTGTCGTGGGAGAAGTGGATCTGCAACTGCAAAATATTATTTCTTGTTAGATCTGTTCGTCTTCATTTCTCTGCACTCCCGTCGAAGAATTAGAGGAGCAGTTGGGGACGACCGACAAGGCGCAGCAGGAGCAACGAGGGAGAAGGGGAAAGGAGAGGTGAGTGCCCGGCTCTGTTCCTGCTCCCGTTCTTGCTTCTTGGACTTGCTTGCTCCTACAATACTTCGGATTGCACGCTATTCTCTTCTAGACTATTCTGGAATTTCTGATTTCATCGTGGATTACATGCAGTGTAGTATAGGGTGTGCATATTATTTGGTTGAGTTCTGAATCTTTGTTTCTGTAAGTTGTCTGAATTAGCTGCACTCTCCGTTTTCCAGTCAGTTCAAAGCTTCTCTGTATTCCTATCGTTTGTCGGTACAGGTCTGAACTTGTGTGATTATATTTTTTCTTGCAATAGTGTTGCCTGTTCCTCTTAATTCCAGCACGTATTTAGTTCACCTGAGTTTGCCTTTGTTCTAGCTGTAGCAGTATGTCTATCTAAATGTCTTGTATTTGCTCTGTAGTTCGTCAGCCAGTGGTAGTGCATTTGGTTCCTCTTTGTTTGCAGCTTGTGTTTAGTACACTTCAGTTAGTTTTTCCTTGTTCTTTTTCAGCTAGTAGTTAGCTTTTACAGTAGGCACAGTTTCGGACCTTGCTGATCTTTCATCAAGTCATAGTTTGATGGTAGCTTACCGTGATTGCCTCACGGTCAAAGTAATAGATTGTTAACATGTAGCTTATGTGACTTTTTTTTCAGATTTCTACCACATTATCCTGTGTTCTCAATCAATAATAACTTCTCCTTTCATCTATTTGCAGGGGGAGGAGGGCTCTTTTGTTGTCCTGCTGGTTGTGATGGCTGCAAGTGGACATTTCAGTAGATTTGTACTTGTCTAGTTGTTGATTACCTTGTCAGTTTAACCTGTGTTCATCCTTGGTTGAGGACCGGGCCTTCTCCTGGATAAGTTAGGCAGTTTTTTTATTACTTTATCAGTGCAAGAGTGTTGTGACAAGTGAATTTGTAGATGACCTTTTTAATATGTAGTACTAGAGAAATTATATCCATGGTACTAATTTTGTGGATTGGAGCAACATTTTTGAATTCTTTGAATTTTTCTGAATTTACTGTTTTTTTTAGTTGGAGGGGATTTTAATCCCCGTGTCTTCCAAATGGTCGTCGGGAATTTTCTCCCAACAGGGGAGTGAGTGTCAAATACAGGGGAGGAATCCCCTGTGGGATTCAAAAGCACGTGGTTTTCTCTCCATAGCATCCAAAGGAGCCCTTATTGATACACGGCCAAATCTCAACGTACTAGAAGGTTGATTGTTCCATTAACAGTTTATATTTATATGATAATTTATATGATTGGTTCCTTCGGAAACACGTGATGCACGTTCTCAAAAAAAAAATGATTGGTTCCTTCGTCGGAAGAGCAAAAAATACGATCGTGGTTAGTCTGCGTGATGTCGCATTATTAGTGGCTCATTGTTTTTGTCAGAAGAGGTTCTCTACTCCGTACTTCTCCAGGTTGCGCTTTGCTTCGGCTATCAGCTCAGCTGAACACTTGTCCCGCTATCTCTTGCTATGGAGTCGCTCTCCTCATAAATAAGCCACACCTGCGTTGATTCCGATGGAAATCTGAATTCTACCCATTTAAGAGCGAACTCGACGTTGCATATCCCAATTCCCATTGCCTACCATGCTGTTTTCTTCCTCACGGCACGGCACAACGGGACGTTGCACAGTCCAGTCCAAGCAATGCATTTGTGCCCCCAGAAATCGCAATTCACAGATTACACGTAAGGCTTTTTTTTTTTGACGGGAACAGATTACACGTAAGTAACTACCAGACGGAGCGCTTCAGAACCTGGGCCACCGAGGATGTTCTGGGACTTCGGCCTGTATGAAGACTCCCTGGAACTTCCTGTACATGGGCCAGGTCAAGCGTCCCTGTAAGCATCCCACGGGTACCGGCCCAATGGCCGTGTTCTTGAAAAAGTCCAAGTCCTTTTTTAAACTTCTCTAGCCAGTGTTTGGAGGTTTTTATTAAACATCATCGGATTTATTCTCACTAAATAAGATAACACATTACCGGTTTTGATTACATGGCACAATAGTTTTAAAGAGAGAGAACGGATAAGTTTTCATCCAGATGAAACCAGTTTTGCTACTAGATACTCTCGTTATATCTATTATACTTAGTTTACATTGACGACTCCTAAAAGTTCAAATGATTTCGACAATAACATAAATATT